TACATAAGCTTCATTCTGCTGGCTGGTTGACTGCTTTGCCTAGGCCAGGAGGATAGTTCCCTCCGCACCTTCGAAGTATCAATAATATTTGCGAATATACACGCATTTGCAAACTAATTTGGTTTTTCGAGAGACTTACCTGGAACCCAGCTGAATCTCTCGGTTTTGATGTTTCCAGTGAATTACAAAATATATATGTATCGCGATATCTCGAATATCGTAGTGACTGAAACATGAGGCGGCCTGGTGCAGCACATTCAGTTGCCTGAGAACATCACAAACGAGAGATTCAGCTGGGTTCCAGGTGAGTCTCTCGAAAGAACCAAATTAGTTTGCAAATGAGTGTATATTCGCCAATTTCGTGCAATTTGGTTTCAAGTAGAACATCAGGTTGACGAAAACTCGGGGACTGCGCCTACCTGATGAGCCCCAAGAAGGGCAAAACCGGTCGTGGGCTGCCGAGGAGTTTTCAGCAACCTTATGAGTAGTGAATTACAAAATATCAGTAATATTCCTCAAAGTTCTGTTTAAACTCCCTTTCTGTTTACGAACTTTCTCTACAAACACACTCACCTGCAGCCCAGTTTGATTTTCACGTAAGACACATTTGAATTTTAGCTGAATCTTTCGTCTGTGATAGCTGACCGAAGCTAAGGACTGTACCTAGAGTCCGAAGCGAAAAAGTGAACCGGTTGTGTGCTAACGAAGGGTCTTCAGCAACCTTATAAGTAGTGTGTTCTGCGATTAAATTTGGAAATTTATTTTTTGTTCCTTCGGCTCTTTCCACACCGAAGTGGATCATTCTGATCAATCTGATTCGCTCTCTTCTGACTCCCGAACGAGCCAAAAACTTAACTTTCGAAAATGATTAAACATGACGTTTTTCACTAGTGAAATACACTCATTCGCAAACCAATTCGGTTTTGCGAGAAACTTGCCTGGACTCCAGCCGAAATATCACAAACGAGAGATTCATCAGGGGTTCCAGGTGAGTCTCTCGCAAAACCAGAGTTGTTTGTTAAAACACACCGGGCAAACCAAATTTTTCCCTGAGCATCACTCATGCGAATTTGGTCTGTGGACAATATCGTCCTAACAGCGTCTCGAGTCTCCATAGGCGTACTTTGTGATGCTTTCCACAGATTAATCAACAAAAGTCCCTGTGCTTTCGTAATGCACTACTCATGAGGTTGCTGAAAACCCCCCGACAACCCACGACCGGTTTCTCCCTCCTCGGGGCGCAGTCCCCGAGTTTCCGTCAACCTTATGTTCTATTGAATCCGAATTGCACGAAATTAGCGAACTACACTCATCTGCAAGCTAATTTGTTGTTTTTGAGAGACCCACCTGGAACCCAGCTTGATCTGTCGCTTGTGATGTTTCCAGGCAACTGAATGCGTCGCACCAGGCCGCCTCATGTTTCACTCGCTACGCAGAGATATCGGAACGCATATGTATATTTGTAATGCACTACTCATAAGGTTGCTGAAAACTCCCCGACAGCCTACGACCAAGTTAGTCTGCAAATAAGTGTATATTCGCTAATCCCTGTGCTTTCCTTCACAACTTTGTTTGGAAATCGCAAGATGAGAGGTGACGGTGGCGTGTAGAAATAAGCGTTGTCTGATGGCACGCCAGACTGGTCTGTTGACTCCAAAAAAGTGTAGACCCCACAGGTTCAAGGGTTACGCTTACTGAACGAGCGTTTTTGCTGAGCAGATCGGGTAGCATGTACAACACCCATTCTCAAGTGACACCTTATCAGGTCATGATTGATCAAATTGGAGAGATGTGACTGACTGTCCGCAATAAAGTCCAACATGACACCCCGCCGTGTGTTACACTCCGTTGGCAGGTTGTTTCAGTTTACGGTTTAAAGGTGAGCATCACAACAACGCAATCGATAATTGCCTGAAAAGATGCACACCATCACATCAACTACGTGTTGATGTCCGTCAGACGTGGATTGAGTGCACCAAGAAGACAATATTGTGATGGACAGGTGTCAGAAACACAAATGCAAGAACCACAGTGGGTCATCGACGATGTGTTGAGTGAGTTGGTTGGCCTGAACTGTTTCTTTTTGTCCTGTGTCAGCTTGATCACCAAGTTCCTTCCGAGCGGTCAACGGATCAAAATCATATTGGCCTATCATCACGTTTGATGTGAACAGTTGAATACGCCGACGGTCGTCCCACCACAGGAAAACACCTGTTGCTCTCCAAAAATTGAAATAGTGAGGTTTCATCAAGAACCGAGTGTATTCCTTCTTGGAAAGTACAGTACCACGGTTTCGAAGGCCTTACGTGTTTGACGTGGAACAAGGGGTAGTCACGTGTCAGATATTTCCCAACTGAAAAACTGGTTAGACGGGTACAGGATGGGCACAACCTTCTAGTCTGAGTATCACGAGTCAGTTACTGCCACCTAGGTTACTACGGCCAGAGAGTTTAACTATCATTCTGGTCACACTCGGATGAGAATAGAACAAAAGACAACTGTCGGTGGAGGATGTAACTTCATCTTTCAAGTTGATTGTCTGAGCCTGTGTGACTACTGAATTAACCGGTAGCTTAAATATGCGAAAAATGTATACAGACCGCCGTCAGATCATGACATACGCATGACGCTGGATAGAATATACATGTTGGGAGTTGAACCACTCACTTGGTGTAAGTCACGTGATCATCTCGCTGCAAGCCTACTTCTATCCTGTAACGCCAGTCACAATGTGCTTGATAGAGCTTATCACGACAGCAATTTGGCCATTCTATGAAGCAGCGATCTTTCTAGACTTTTCCAAAGCTCAACTCATTCGACTGAGTTCTGTCGGTGGAGACGACTAAACAAATGCGCTCTCCGCTGTAACCAAACCGAGTACAGATCGATAAAATACGCGGCACTGTGATCGAAGACTAATTAGATGGTGCAAGATGGACAGCCGCGATCGGCCGCCAGACTGATGTAACCAGTCAGAGAACCAGAATTATCGGGAAAAGAACCGACGGGCCATTTACCGAAATCTTCATGTCTGACCAACTATCTTCAGTAGGGCGGTATTTTGTGGTGGTCGCTGACACGGGTGCAGTTGTACGGTGGTACCTGTATTCTAGCAGTTGACCAGCCTAGAAACTCCTTTCATTGAGTATACCAGTCTCCCCGGTCTACATAGAAACATGGAAGGGGGGGGGGGGGGGGAGGAATTCTCCAGGGCATCAACTCATCTTTATGTTACCTTTTGCGGTATCGAAACCTGCTGGCTTCTAGTTCCGACAAGTTGCCATGTTTCTTCTTCTGTGTCGTAATTTTGAGATAAATTGTATGAATTGGATCTTTGTTCACCTATACCATACGTCGCAGGCGCCACTGTATGAGCATCGATCAGTATGGATCCACTAAGTCGCTTCTGTTGCGCGCTGAGGCATAGCGTACTCAAACATAAGTGTCGGTGTTCGAACGAGGGCACCTATTGGGCATACGACAGTTGATTCACCAGCCGGCTGATAGTTAGTTCTGTTCAACCGATTATCAGCTATAGACCAGCTGCTGCAGTTTCAATCACCTGAAAGTTGCGGGGATACTGCTAAGCCTTGGGGGCGATGGCCTGTTCAGTTTGTTCGACGCATTAAAGGCGATAACTTTGGTGTAGGGCCATTTCTGTCAGCGTCAGTAACCATTGGTGAGCTGAGTTTTAGGGTACCCATCCAGGGAGATGGCAGTTGCCGACCAGACTGAGTTTACTGATTAGTGTTCTGACACTTCATTGTCAGATCATAGACTGTCCACCCGTTGATCGCTCCCACTCAGTACGGGACTGGACAAAAAGAGCCTGTAAGGCGGACGGCCTTCTGGAATGCGGTGTACATGGGGCGTGAGTGACTGCTCCAACCGGTTAGCTTGCCTCAGCTTACCGATGGTCAAATACCCGCAGCTTTCGTATGTCAGCTGCGCGTAGTAACTATGTTTCTGATCCATGTGTGGATGAAACCATCGATGTGTATATTCCATCTTTGACAAGTCACGTCAGCGCCATAGGTGTCGAAGGCTAATAAACGCCGTCCTGGCCTTTCCGATCAGAGAAGTAACCTCGTATCCAGCCACTCCACCGTAATTCGTACAACCGTTCAGGTAAACGGGTGGATAGCTGGCTTAGCTATAGATGAGATCGGCCTTAATGTGTATAAAGCGATTGGGGACGAGATGGACCAAGTGGTTAGAGTGCGAACCGGAAGCTCCGTGGTTCGGACCCGACCTCTGCCTCTCGACTTCCCCTGTCTAGGCTTGAGGAACCTGGCAGTATCCCAGTCCTCATGCTCCCTTTGGTTGGCATGGCAGCTAGGCACCGAAAGGATGTTTTAGAGCTGAAGGACTGAGATCTTGGGAGAAGTTAAATGGTACAAGTCTGGAGATGGTGTGACATAAGACATTGATTGACACTCATGAAAATCGATTGGAGAGGACGACACAAGACGAAAGTTTTCCAGTTTCCCGAACCCTGGATTCTTAGTCCGACGCGGGTTGTAGACAAAAGCATACGGACCGCATCATTATCATCAACAGTAGTGTATCAAAAACGTCTTTGAAAGCAAGCATTCAGTGGATTTTCAAGGTGATCCTTGAGGCAATTAGAATATGCGCCTCAATGTCATTCTTGTTGTCGTACTTCACTTCCGTCACACTGCTGGACCGTCGACGGATGCAGAAGACTGATTCTTGCGGAGGCGTGTTTTGTAACGCCCCCTTCGGTGCGTAGATCACGTCATAAATGGACGGAATTCACAGTCGGGTGAACACTATTCATAAAACGACAAATCCTAAAAGCAAATCAGATGTGGAATAGCAAATCTTTCGGATGGCAACCGAAGTGGTTGGTCGTAAACAGTGCAGCGTGGAGTGTAGGCTTCCGAACGCGGGCAGTCAGAATCCAACGGTTTGGTGTATACCTTTCGCGAAACACCGCACGATGTAGGTGAGGATACAAAAGGCTCGCTGTTTTTCAGCGCATACAAGAGACTATTCATGTTTTCGAGAAATACACCCAGTTGCAAAACAATTTGGTTTTCACGAGAGGCTCAACTGAATCTCTCGTTTATGATATTCTACAACTGAATGTGCTGTACACAGGCCGCCTCATGATCCAGTTAGCACAATATTCATGATCTAATCTACACAATTTTCCAAGTCACACGTTGTCTGCCTCATACTTGGCACTATTCTAGAGGAAGCACGGAAAACAAAACTCATTTCGGTGTAATTTCATGCAATTTGGGTTCAACTAGAACGTAAGGTTGACGGAAACTCGGAAACTGTGCCTATCTGATGAGCCCCAAGAAGGGTGAAATTGGTCGTGGGCTGACAAAGAGTTTTCATAAACCTTGTGATTAGTTTTTTATGAAGATTAGTCATGTATTAACGCACAGAGTTCGACAGACAATCCAGATTTCTACTAGATGTCAATGTTTGAAGGCAGCTGTCGACTCAGATCTCAAGGTAGCCAGCCATCTTGAAAGTGGTGAAACTGGTACGTTTGTTCGTTCTGTCGAAGCGAGGATGATGATACACCCGAGGCGCAACGTCATACGGGCGAACCAAAGGATTCATCTCATGGAGAACTGCGACATAGTGATTGGTATCTTTTCAGTAGTGTTATAAGTAGTAGGAATGAAAGCAGAATTTCGCTACAAAAGGTAACCATATGAGTACATACAAAGATTTGCAAATTATTTATCTTCGACGTATGGCAGACTCAAGTTTACACTTCAAGCTTTACAAAACAGCCAGTTTGATTTTAAAATGCTCACATGAAAAAAATTTCATCAAAATTCCAGAACAAGTATCAGATTCCATCAGTTCTTCTAAGGTTCCAAATTTGGAATTATGTAAAATATCGTGATCAGCAATCGTTTTGAGCGAAAAGTTCAGGTCTACTTCAAGATGTTTACGTTCAAATCCCTTTTCCCCGTTTGTGATATTCAGTGAACAGCTTTTTTCACGCCGATTACACGAGTATTTTTGCTGATGGGACACATTTAACCAAAATGATCCGCTCTGCCTTGTGTCAAGGCCGTAGACTGAAACGGAACCGCCAACACTACCGAGCATCACAGTCAGATTTTTCCATCTCGTGGACTAAACCCGAGTATAAAGAAGCCCCACGTGACCTACGATCTTCAGAGTCAACTATACTAGCGCGCTGTACAGCTGTCGGCTCAGACCATCCGTGAAACAAACCGGAGTGGCCATTAACGACACTCTGAAACTGGCTAACAAGTAGTCAAATTCGAATCTTTAGGGGGAGCGGTTCGCGGGAGTAATCTCAGGCGAAAAATATCCGAAAAATATTGTCGTGAACCTCAATTCCTATTTTGTTATATTTGATGAACCTCTCTTCATAAATCCATAATTTGTTAGGGTTCCTGATTTCGAAAAAATGCAAGTTGATATGTCGCGATCGCAAACGGACTGCTGCTCACAGCGACCCGAATCATGTTCTCATGATTATCCTCATCACCTGTCTGCAGAATTTACGCTTCCAGTAAACGACAATAACTATGAATAGAACACGTCTTCTATCCCAACTATTTGTCGATAGTTGGACCGAAAATGGCACACCATAAGCGCTTTCAGTTAACCCCACAAACGCTGTTTCTCTTGCGGACAAATTGGTGTCGATGGACTGACGATCGCAACATCCCAATCACCTCGTTGTCACTTGTATACATCCTTTCCATGACACGTTTATCGATGCTCAATCACAGAGACCGACGATTCAGTTGCTACTACGACTGCAGTTTTTGCCTTTCAAAGTGTGGAACTCATGTGCGCGCATGATTATCATCTTTATTCGGTGATTTGTGCATGCATGGCTGTGTGATTGCTTCCCCAGATGGACTAACAAACTCACGAACTTGGTCGCTCTCTTTACACCGTGCGATAAAGATGATAATCTTCTAGCGGGGACAATGGAGTTGTTGTCACACCCACACAACACACGTCTTCTCGCTTTGTGCACCCAATTTCCTGGTATGTGTGAGAATCGGGCTGATCATGGGGGAGGGTGTTATGAGTATATACACACACACACACACGTCTCTCGCTTTGTGCACCCAATTTCCTGGTATGTGTGAGAATCGGGCTGATCATGGGGGAGGGTGTTATGAGTATATAAAACATTGATCAGACGCCTTCTGGTGACTGATACATGTTTCGCCATGATGGTGTTCCGTTTTCGTTCCGGCCGTTTTTGAGTTTCACTCATGCGCGCTTGGTGGCAGTTGTTTTGAGTGGGCGAGTGAGTGGTACTCAAACATAGCGGTCCATTAGCGTGCGCATGACACATGAGGGCGTTAATAATATGCCGCGTGCCATGCTTTTGCCAGTCAGCCAGCCCGCTTGCGCGGACAATCCTTGATGACTGCAAAATCCTCAGCCTGGTTTATCAAGATTGCTGATTCCGGTGTTGTGCTGCGTAGATAAGTGTGTGTGTGTGTGTGTGCGCACGCACGCATTTGAGAGTATGGGAATAGTCAACAAGCAGGGAAGTGTAAACGGGGAAATTGATCAATAAATAAGGCAGGCAACAGCAGTGAGAATGGTCCACAACAGAAGTGAAAGATGCGTCGGGTTCGGTGGTGATAGCGATTTATTTTTCGTCACCACAATTCCGATGTACTACTTATGAGTAATTAACGGCCCGTTAACGGAAATAGGGTTGCTACGGTGGGACAAACACAGACGGATATCTAGATACAACAAGGCTGGCCTACTGATTGCTCGATTTGTAACAAAATGTAGCCGATATGAGGTTCGGGTAGAAAACTCACAGAGTTTATCCATTCATTTTGAAAGCCATAGAATAAAAAGAAGGGAAAAGAGTGGATGAGGTAGGGAGATGAAGCTAGCCTGTACAAGCATTCTGAGGGAGCCGTATCTTCAAAGGTCCAGTCGGAAAATATGAAAAGAAACTGACGGAACGAATGCGACTGACATACATCAGCTTCCCCTTCTGGTAGACACCGCAGTTGGCGGAAACCCGGGAACTACACCCATATGATGAGCCCCAAGAAGGACGAAACAGGTGAAAGGGGGTGTCAGAGTTTTCAGCAACCTCATAAGTAGTGCATTACGTCTACACAATGTACTGCGATATATTGAATACCCTGACAACTGAAACACGAGGCGGCCTGGTACAGCACGCTCAACTGGAGAAGACCGTGCCACACCAGTTAGCACGGGGGATCGGACAGACATTACCAGACCCTTGGAACACTTGTGTAATATTAGTAAAATCACGTGCTGTTCTTGGAAGCTGAAACAAAGACTGACGACAGCACATACGCCATTCGGAGTACGCAACCCATTTTTGAGGGCAGTTCCGCCAAGTCTCCGATGGTCCATATGTTTTCGTGCAGTAGAATGCACCACCAACTGAACCACCACCAAAGGCAGCATTTCTGTGAAGGTTTCGCTCTGTAATTGAAGCCAATCCATGCTAAAAAAAGATCAAGAACAACTGCATTTCTGTTTCGTTTGTGTTGGGAGTCATCAGTCGTGCGCATCTCACGAAACCTCCAGTGGGGAGTCTCGAACCCACGATCTTCCGGACAGTGGTAGTGCTTGTCTTTTGCTTGTGGTGTCACACAGTAAAGTAAAGTAAAGTAAAGTAAAGTAAAGTAAAGTAAAGTAAAGTAAAGTAAAGTAAAGCGAAATAGGTAATCCAGCGCACTTCAACGAGTAAAGAGTGGAGGAGTGTAGAACCACTTTGAAAGGTATTGTTTTAGGGTTTGTATAAATCCTTCGCTTCCATCCTACGAGCGAAGTCAGTCTATGCCGTAAAGGTGAGGAGTAGTGTTCAGCTGTTTCACCCTTATTGGGACTTATCACTAGGGCGATTTAAACTCTGTTCATGGTTCTCTTGTAGAACGTAGATGCCAACTCGAACAGACTGACTGCCCACTACTGGTTCATCAGGTGAGGGTAGTCCAGTCAGAAAAACCTCTCAAAAGAGGGCTCTCTAGTGGTCTCCCGTCACGATATGCCGTTTGTCGTATGTGTTACGTCATCCAGACATTTTCTAGAAGTACACCAAATGTCCGAGTTCAACTAGCACTTTTTGACAAGATCTGGTAATGATGTAGACGTAATACACTCCTCATAAGGTTACTGAGGGCTCTTCGACAGCTCACAACCGGTTTCGCCCTTCTTGAGGCAAATCAGATAGGCTCAGTCTTCGAGTTTCCCTCAACCTTATATTCTACCTGAACCCAAATTACACGAAATTGGCAAAATACAAAGTCATTTGCAAACAAATTCGGTTTTGTGAGAAACTAACTTAGAACATAGCTCAATCACTCGTTTATGATGGTTTCAAGCAACTGAATGTGCAGGCAGCCACATGTTTCAGTTTGTACGATATTCGAGATAAAGCGGTACATGTATAGACGTCATACACTACTCATAAGGTTGCTGAGGGCTCTTCGACAGCCCACTGCCGGTTTCGCCCTTCTTGGGGCTCATCAGGTAGGCGCAGTCCCCGAGTTTCTGTCAATTTCATGTTGTGCCCCAGCCCAAAGTGGACAGTTTCCTACAAATACATTAATCGGAAAATATATTTGGCCTTCTCGGGAGACCCAATTGAATAAAAAACAAGAGAGGCAACTGGGTTCCCGTTGAGTCTCCCGTCAAATCCAAATTGATATGCAAGTGTGTATAGTTGTCGAGATCTGGTAATCATACTCTATCTTTCTTCTTGAATGTTTAGATATTGATCAAGCGGTTGTTGACCTGCTCGCCTAGCTTTGCAACTGCCTTGTAGGCCTTTCGGGGAGACATCTTCAGTGCGGTTGGTCCATCCACTTACTGACGATGTCTACGCGAATGACCACGAAACGTTGGCAAGTCCATTGTCAAGCTCGGCGAACATATCCAGTGAAAACCTGACCAACGATCAATGTGCACATGCCTAGAATTCGTTGGCTTCTACTGAGAAGAATGTTGGCATGGGTAGACTCATCGACACTTCGCTGCTCTCCACTCCGGTACCTAACACCGTACTGATTGGTTATAAAGCGCTTTGCAATCAGTTCGTCCAGCCTGGTGAAGATTTGCTGATTTTCTGCTCACTGATTGGTTATAAAGCGCTTTGCAATCAGGTCGCCCAGCCTGGTGAAGATTTTCTGATTTTCTGCTCACTCATTACCCACTGATCAGTGATTGTCTCTCTTCATCGATTCTGACAGAAGATATCGCGAAAAAACAAACATGAATGGTCATCTGTTACGTCACAGTGTTTTTCCTAACTGTTGACAGTCCTAACTAGAATCATCATTCGTACACAACAATGCGGTAGACTGACAATAAGCAATCCGACTCATCCGTTATTTTTTTCCATCATTTCGGTTTCACGTGATGTACTTCTCGCATGTGTGATGTTTCACCACTTTCCGATATCAACACCCAATAATCTCGTTTGGTAATCACACGTTTCTAATCTTCACATTCGTGTTCGTAATTCTGTTGACACGAAGGTGAAGTAGATTTTACAGTTTCTCGTTCGGCCGACAAATAGCTGCTGCGTGGTGAGGCTTATTCGATCCACATTATTTCATGTGTTCAGATTTTAAAGGCAAAACTTTGGACAGTCTGTCATTTGACGTCATGTGGCCTTATCTGTCACGTGACAATTTACTTGGGGGTAAAGAGCCAATCATGTTGTGTTTGTTCAACAGTCGCTTAACTGATTAGAACACCACTCAGTGAGCATAAGTCCTGCGTGATCTTGTTGAGTACGCTCAATGACGCAAGCTCTATTCACTAGCGAGCGAAACCCTTGTACACAAGATCGATAGTGCTGACGACTGCACCCCTTTGGCATTAAACCCAGAAATGTAGTCAGGTGACATGACGAGCAAGTGAACAGTAACCTTTGTAATGTACCACTCATAAGGTTGCTGAAAATCCGTCGACAGCGCACGACCGGTTACGCCCTTCTTGGGGCTCATCAAGTAGGCGCAATTCCCGAGTTTCCGTCAACCTCATGTTCTACTTGAACCCAGATTGCACGAATTTAGCAAACCACACGCATTCTACTCCAGAAAGGACGAAACCGGTCGTGGGCTGTCGAACAGTTGTCAGCAACCTTGTGAGTAACTTCCTTTATGAAAACATGCTGCGGTATCTCGTATATCGTGCCAACTGAATCATGAGGCGGCCAGTGTGCAGCACATTCAGTTGTAGAATATCGTAAACGAGAGATTCACTCGAGTCTCCCGTGAAAACCAAATTGATTTAATGCGTTGATTTTAAAATGAGTATCGTTCGTCATCGTCACCGCTCATCAAGCTTGAGTTTACTTGTAACCAGATAAAACTGTCTTCAAGACTTTAGGACTCCACACACGAATGCGACACAGTCGAATATCACTGCTCGCCAAATGTGGGCACAGAGGAAAGGAAAAACCGTCCGTAACAAATGTTCGGAAGTTGAACACAAACGACAACTTATTCCATTTATCACGCGTTTGCATGGTGACAGTTCTGACGCGTTTGACGTTCCAAATTCTCACAGCGCCGTTACTAATGAATCGGGTTTTTTACACGGCTCACTGGTGAACCGTGACCGAATGGTGGTGCAACGGAGTCTTCCGGGGAGGGGAAATCTGTCACCATTATCCGCTGTCGAGCGCACCAGCTCGTGAGCGCGCGCGCGCGCGCGCACGTACATACGTACGCACGCACGCACGCACTCGCTCCGGTGCTTACAAACTTAAATGCTGTCATTACCCTCTCCTGATCACTGTGTACTTGCCAAGTAATTACCGTAAAAATCGGTAATTTATCTGACAAATGCATGTTAGCACGCAGGCAGCTGTTCTCTTTTTTCCCCCAATTCAACCAATTTGTACTCACTTGATCAGGTGATAAATGGCGGAAGAGAACGGGGGTGGAGCAGAATGAAAAAAGCATTCGTCATTTTGGTGAAATACATACTCATTTGCCAATTAAGTTGGTGCTGTTTTTCCCTTGTTTTAATGTGCGCACAAAGAGTACATTGCATTTCGAAAAATACTCTCATTTGGATACGAATTTGGTTTTGACAACAGAGTCCAGTGAATCCAGTCGAATCTGTGTAATTTGGCTTCAGGTGGGAGATAAGGTTGAGAAACACTCAGGGGTGAAACTGGTCGTGGGTTCTCGAAGAATTTTCAGCAACCTTATGAGTAGTGTACTGCTTCTATAAAATGTTCCGTGACATCTCGAATGTCGTGCAGACTGGGTTCAAGTAGACACATAAGTTTGACGGAAACTCGGGGACTGCGCCTACCTGATAAGCCCCAAGTAGGGCGAAACCGTTCCCGGGATGTCGAAGAGTTTCCAGCAACCTTGTGAGTAGTTTCCTTTATGAAAATACGCCGCGATATCTCGAATATCGTACCAATGAAACATGAGGCGGCCTGTGTGCGGCACATTCATTTAAAGAACATCATAAACGAGTGATTCGGTTGAGTCTCTCGTTAATATGTATGAGTACCTTCAGTGGATTGTGTCAGGTTGATCGAAACTCGCACTTATGTGATGAATCTCATGAAAGAGGAAACCAGTTGTTGAAGGGTCAACAGCAACAACCTTCATGGAATGATTGGCGACGGAAGTCATGTTGCCCTTCAGGTGAGCACAATTGGAACGGGTGCTAATCCTTTTCTTTCGTTGAAAATATGGACGGCATCTTGGCCTGACTCACTGCGAAGGTGACTAAAAAGGCCTTCCAATTGGACTGAGAGCTTGTGGTTTGATCGTGTAGGTGTGTGGCAAAGCTGTCCATGTTGAACTAGTTTGTAGCTTGGGTGATATACGCATTGTTTCCAGTTTTGGTGATCTTGACTTCAGTGTCTTCTGAGCTTCACTCATGAACAGTGAAGATGCGTTCTCGAATGCCGACGAAACTCGTTCAAGCCATTTGTCAGGATGCTTAGTGAACAAACTCATTGTCAGCTGATCAACCACCAATAAGTGCAATGGAGCTAACATATTGGAACTAAATGTTTTTATGTACGACTGAACTCTATTCAGGTGAGACGCGCCATAGAGTGTGGGGCCTCTACAGTGGACCTTCTGGGGAGCAAGTTCTTCTCTATCCATCCCTACGAAGAATTCACACCAATTGTCTAGACTACTCATAAAATTGCTGAAAACTCTTTGACAACCCACTTTCTATCGTTTTTGATAATCTGATAAGCCTCAGGAAGGACAAAACTGGTCTTGGGCTGTCGACGAGTTTTCAGCAACCTCATGAGTAGAGTGTTACCTCTGGACAACAAAGAATCGTGATATCTCAGATACCATACCAAACGAAATCGGGCGGTTCAGTGCAGCAAATTCATAAACTGGAAATTCCGCAGGATTCAGTTGAGTCATTTGTCAAAAGCAAATTCCCATGAAAATGAGAGCATCGGTCAAATTCGTGATGAGTTTTGATTGATGGGAACGCTATCAGATCATCTCTGGTTTATCTTCAGAGGAACCTTCCTTGAGGAAGATTATTCTGGTGCGGTTTGAAGCGAAGAGTTAGTGGAACGAAATAATACAGCGGAGTAAGCTCGGAAAATTTTGTCACTTTTACATGGGGGTTGTATGTGTATTCTGTGGTTCGTATGAAACCTTGTCGATGACCGTAGTCAGCAGGCCCGTTTTTCGCAAGTGTCTATGAGGGCAACGTTGCACGGTGGTCAGGCTTTGACAGGGCCCCGTATCAGGACTTGTCAATCTTGTGTAAACAAAAGATACCAAATGAGCTTTCTGTTAAATGGTTTCCCTCCTGTGACTCCCAAGACATAACAATTATTTTATCGTGCACGAATTTTCGGCAACATTCAGTCCATCATGGTTGTCTGTTTTCAGTTTGGGAAGTTTTGAAAATCAACCGACCGACGCGGTAAGACACTAGCTGTTACAATGGAGAAAATAGGGCGGTGCAACTAATCGATCGTTTTCGAGCAAAATCAGACCACAACGCAATAAAAACCACAAACAAACCAATAAGCTCACAGAAATGCTGTCTCACAACTGGCCAATCACGTTAAGAGAAAACAGCTGATCTTCAGGTGCTATAAAAAGGCACACACGCAAACAAGAGGAAGTACTCACCAAGCTGCGGGCTGATGATGTCTCCTCGTATGGTGACAAAACACCTTCAAGTTAATTCCCAAGCTCAGCGGACAGGCAAACAGACACCCGATCAACAATCACTAGTTTTGGAAATAGTGATCGTTCAGCTGTAGCACCCTTTCGGTGCCTAACTGCCATGCGACCCGAAGGTTGCACGAGGGCTGAGATACTGC